CAGAGGGAGAAGCAGGCTCCATGCAGGGAGCCTGACATGGGGCTCCATCCCGTGTTTTAGGATTAGGCCCTGGGCTGAAGGAGGCGCTAAACCACTGAGCCACCCAGGCTACCCTAAATAAAATCCTTAAAAAATAAAAAAAGGAATACACTTGACAAGTGTGTGGCACACAGTAGGTGTTTCATAAATGCCTCACAGCCTTTCTGCGGAGGATGGAGGGCCTTGACGCGTCCCCCAAGTGCTATAAGGCAAGGGGGTTGAGAAGTCAGATCGTCTCCAGGGTCAGGCAAGATGTAGAAAGCTGGAGAATGGTGTGTTTGGGTTTTTTTTTAATTAAGATTTTATTTTTTAAGAAATCTCTATCCCCAACATGGGACTCAAAATCACAGCCCCAAGATCAAGAGTGGCCCACCCCACGGACTGAGCCTGCCAGGCGCCCCAGGAGAGGGCAGATGCCTTTCAGCTCGAGTGTTTCGCGCTGGAGGACAGGCCGCAGCTTGGGATCGGGAGGGCGCGATCTCATTGTTAGATGCACGGGATGAGTTAGAGCACTCTAGGCCCTGCCTAGGCCAGCGCTGCAAGCAGGAGGGCCGCCAGTTCGAGGCTGTGGCCCTCACGTGCTTAAGCCCCGTGCCCTCTCAGGGTCTGCGTGGTCTGATTTCTAGGAGGATGCGGGTCGGGGGCTGCGGGGGTGGACGGGACGTCAGGGCTGGGCTCCCCGCCCTGCGTCCCGCTGGACTGCGGTGTGGCCCTGCGCAAAGTGCCAGAGCTCTGTGGTCCGTGACCTCCGGGCATGCGGGCTGGGAGAGGGACTGGGGAGCAGTGGGGAGGGGGGCCAGCCTCACCCAGCTCGTCCTCAGTCATGGGCAGGAAGTGGTCCACCAGCTCCTCCGACTTGCCCAGCACGACGTCCACGGCATGGCTCATGGAGCGCTTCAGGTCTATACTCCAGCGGCGGCCCTGACGCGCCAGGCCCACCACGCCTGTCACACCGCTGGCCACCGTGTCCTTGGCTGAGGTCACCACCTGGTGGGAGGGGGCCCCCTCCAGGTTCTGGCTCCCTTCTCTTACCCAGCTCCTCAAGGCTGGGTGTCAGGGGTCCCTGGCCCTTCCTGGCGTGGGGCCTCAATTTCCCTTCTGTAAAATGAGGGGAAATAGAGGTTCCCCCTCCCGGGGTTGTTGAGGGGATTATGGGCACCCACTGCCACATCTTCAGTGCTCGGTCAGCTCGGCGGGGGCTGATCATTGTAACTTGGCTGGTGTTGAGTGGGCCCCAAACCCGACTCAGCCCCAGTGTTGTGGGCCCAGGTCCTGGGCTGGTCCCGGAGGAGGCTGCGCTGCTCCCTCCCACCGCCACCCCTCTCCGGGTCCCCACCGTAGGGGTCCCCACCCTACCATGTCCGAAGGTTGCTGGAGAAAAGGCAGCTTCTCCAGCTTGTCCAGCCCCCTGCAGGCGAGATTGTTCACTGTGGCCACTGGAGGGGAGAGGCAGGGAGTGAGGGCAAGGGAGGCGGGGAGGATGGAGGGAGGCACGGGGTGGGGTGGGGGGTCTGTGAGGGTATGGGGGGAGACACAAGGCTGGGCCCCACCCCCACTGCCCTCCTGGCCTCAGCCCTGCCACCTGGCTGCTGCCAGCGCCAAGGTGACTCCTGCCCAGTGCCGGCTGGGAGGGCCCAGCGGGCAGGCTCAAGGTCACACAAACTGGCTGAGAAGGAGGCCGGGGAGGTGGGGAGGCCCAGGGCTGGGATGGGACCTCGGTCCACCAGAAGCCAGGGGTCTTTCCACCCCACCCCCACCCCTCTGCCAGGTTGGGCCCCTCAGCTGGCACAGGTGCCTGGGGAGATGTGGGGCTCAGGTCGCCGTGGGGGCAACGACAGAGAGACAGATGGGGGAGGGAGGTGGACAGGAAGGAACCGGAGGTTCACCAGGCCGCTGGATGAGGGACGACCTCCACAAACGGCTAAGGGTGGAGGTCCGGGAGATGAAACCGGAGAGGGATGATGGGGCTGGGGTGTAGGTAGAATGGGGGACGGGGGGGGCAGGGAATGGGAGATGGTGCTGGCGGGATGAGGAAGGACCAGACGGGTGGATGGGGTACAAGCAGGTGCACGGACTAAAGGCATCCACATGGGTGGGACTGCGGGGCTCCCACCTCAGCAGGTGCACTCCAGAGCATGGAGGGGGGCAGTGGGGCAGGACCCAGGGGTCAGGGGGTGCTCACGCTGGGGCTGCAGGTGGCTGAGCAGCGGCTGGGCGTGGTCCAGGGCCCGGGTGGTGAGGCCGCACACGCAGTGCTCGGCCAGGCGGCAGGCGGAGCCCAGCAGCGGGTGCCTGTCCTTAGCAGCACTGTAAGCATCCAAGACGGCGGTGCACGTGGTCCTGACCAGGGGCAGGGCCACCACGCGCTGTACCGCGTTCTGCGGGGAGGTGGGGGCATCAGAGGGGTCCCCTGAGGGTGTGGGGAGCTCCGCTGCACCTCTGTCCTGCTTTCCTTCCCCAGGCCAGGATGAGGGGCGGGCGGGAGGGTTGAGGGACTGCAGGCTTAACTTGGGGCTTCGGCCTTCCCATCTGTAAAATGGGTTTCTAGGGCTGGGTGAGACGTGGAGCCCACATGCGTGAAGTGCGGGGAGCAGGGACTGATGCAGACATGTGGCGTGATTGCTGTCCTTTGTGCTGCTGCCGTGGAGCGCGCCGAGGTGCTGGACACGGGACGGGTAGCCGCAGAGACCCAGAGGTGGAGGTGCGCGGGGGTGGGGGAATGCTTCCCGCCCCGGGGCCTCACTGTGCAGCTCTGAGCCCCCTCCATGGTCCAGCGAGGATAGGAAGGGGCGGGGGCACCTGGTCTGAAACTGTCCCAGAAGTGATATCCCCACCCCCCTTCCCTGTGCCCCTGCTCTGCTGGGGGGCAGCCCCTCACCTGCTGGTCCTGCTCACTCAAGCTGGTTGTGGGGGGCTGAGCAGCCTCGTGGTCTGACATACCTGCTGCAAACACCCTGCAAAGCAGGACAGGGTGAGAGGGGCCTCTCCACACCAGCCCTCCTGGGTCCCACCTAGGCCTTGGGGTCTGTCCTGCTGGGCTTGGGCAGGTACTCTTCTCTCTTGGGACCTCAGTTTTTTGTTTTTTTTTTTTTAAAGATTTTATTTATTTATGATAGACATAGAGATCGGGGTGGGGGGAGCAGAGACACAGGCAGAGGGAGAAGCAGGCCCCTCGCAGGAAGCCCGATGTGGGACTCGACCCCCCAGACTGAGATCACGCCCTGAGCCAAAGGCAGATGGTCAACCGCTGAGCCACCCAGGGGTCCCGATCTCAGGGTCTTGAGTTGGAAGCCCATGTTGGGCTCTGCGCGCAGGGGGGCATCTGCTTGAGGATCCTCTCCCTCTCCCTCTGCCTCTCCCTGGCTTGTGCATACTGTTTCTTAAATAAATAAATACTTTTTTTCAAATAAATAAATCTTAAAAAAAATAGGATGATGATAATACCTACCTCCCAGCATCGCGAGGGACATGGACAATGTATGCACAGGCTCTGTACACAGTAGGTGCACACTAGAGAGCTCTGCAAGGTGGGGATATTGTAGTGATTCAAAGCATGGACTCTGGAGATGGAAAGACCTGGGTTCAAATCCTGCCATTACCTGCTGTGTGACTTTGGGCAAATGCCTTCACCTCTCTGAGCTGTTTCCTCTTCTGCAAAGGAGGGGAGGTCCCTGCTGCCCCTGCCCAGCCCCCAACTCATCCTTCCCCGACAAACTGCACAAGCAGGCCCGGGCAGGGGTGGAGGTGGAAGCTGCCGATTCCCAATAAACGCACAGAGTTACAGGGAAACCGAGGCGGCCGTGGCAATTCCAAGGCCACTCATGTAAGCAGACTCAGGGTGGGGAGTTCGAGCTGAGACTCCCCGCTCCCTCGCAGTTCTTTCCCCATCCCCACCCTGCGCCCTCGGAGCCCTGGTCCCCGCCCAACTGGGTCCCCAGCTTCAGCCAACTGGGCCAAGGGTCTCGGCCACCTGCTCCGGCCCGTCATCCCCCTCCCCTCTCACACCGCTGGATCCCTTCCTGCCCACCTGATCCGGAGCCCCCAGCCCTGCGGGGCTCTCCCGGACGCCCTCCGCAGGGCACTCACCTGGGCGCGCGCAGCCCCTGCCCCCAAGCACCGCGGCGGACCCCGGACTCGGGCTCCAGGCTCCGCCCACCGCCGGCCCCCTTATAGCAGCCGGGGGGCGGGGCCTCGGGTACTGACCAATGGGGAGGGGCCGTGCGGAGGCGTGTCCCCGGGGGGCGGGGCTCCAAGCCCACCCTCCCCACCCCGCGCTCCTCTCTGGGGCTCCCGGGGGCGCTCCGCGGTTGTCATAGTAACTTGCGGACGCTGGATGCCCCAGGTTTGAGCTACTTCCGTTGGCCGGATCTGACCACCTGTCACCCTGCTGTCATCGCGGAGACGGTAGAGGACGATCACTGCCCCCACGACTTCGGGCCGAGGCGTGACCTTGAGTAAGTCCTCAAGGTCTTTCTTGTTGTTTTAAAATATCTGTCCTTTAACTCGGCCAGGATTCCGGCTGGCCCATGCCCTTGGATCCCCATTTTGCAGATGAGCAGACTGAGGGATCTGATTCAAACCCCGCTCTGCCAGACTCCAGGCCCCTCCCTGGCTTTCATCATCATGGAATGACCACCATCATGGGCATGACCATTCTTCCAGGGAGCATGTCCCCAAACACCCAGGGGTCCCCCCCAAATCGGACTCTGGCTCCCAGCATGCCCAGCCCTGTGTCCACACGTGGCTCAAGGTTCCGAGTTGGAAGAACACAGGCTCCAGGCCTCTGCCCATGCCTTGAGCTCCACCCAACCTGCCCAGGCCTGCCCTGGGTGGCTATCCCCCTGGGTTGCCATGGGCCAGCATGACAAATTGTTTGGAGACCTGAAGCAATCTGGTTTAATTTAAACCTTCCCCAGGACACAAGCTCTGGCAGGAATCCACCGGTAAAATGACACTCTGGGCAATGGTCAGAGTTTTATTTCCAGTTAAGTCCTGGATGGGGGGAGGGAGAGGAGAAGCCGAGGGCCATCAGATCCCAACTGTTATCCCTTTGGAAGCTCACGTCCTACACCCCAGACCCTGGATCAGGCCTCTTCTTTCCTTCTCCTTCCTCTGGAGGACTAAGAAGAGAACCTCGGAGATGCTGGGAACACAGTGAATTCCAATAGTCCAATCCCATTCCACACTTATTAACCCCTCAGGTCCGTCTCCAAACTGAGAGATGCTGGCTACCAGGGAACCCAGTCCCAGTCCCTGCATTTGGAGAGCCCCCTGAAGTGGGGGAGCAGAGCCAGATAGAGACAACCCAGCGTGGCCAGGGCTTGGCCAGCGGGAGGCCTGGGGGAGCCTGGAGACCAGGAGATCTGGAAAATAGGGAGACATTCTTTTTTTTTTTTTTTTTTTTTTAAGTAGGCTCCATTCCCAGTGTGGGGCCCTGAGATGAAGAGTTGCATGCCCTACCAGCTAAGCCAGCCAGGTGCCCCCAGGAAAGATTCTTGGAAGAGGGTACAAGGAGGCCAGAGAGCCCACGGTGTGTTTTAGGAAGCGTGAGCCAAGCCAGCCCCAGCAGCTCCGGAAAGCTGAAGGTGAATGATTTGCCAAGGAGCATGCAGCGTCCTGCCAGGCCCGTCTCCCCACCGCAGCCCCAGGCCTCAGCCTCAGTGTGACTCGGCTGCTTCTAGGAGCGTCTGGCCCTTCAAGGGTTCGGGCCGAGCGCAGCGGGTGTCGTTCCTGGAGAACATCTTGTCTTTGTTGGCCACAAGCCACCCATAGAGGTCGTCCAGGTTGTGATCACAGATCCAGGGGTTACCAGAGATGTCAAAGCCGTCCTCCATGTCCCGGGTGGGCTGCCCCAGGGATGTCCAGAGCCCCTTGGGCACGCTGGTGAGCGAGTTGTTGGAGAGGTCAAGCATGTCCAGCTGCTGCAGACCTCGGAAGGCACCGGCAGCCACCGTGGCCAACTTGTTGTCACTCAGGAAAAGGTAGCGCAGGCCTGGCTGGGGTGCCAGGAGCCCCTCTTCAAGCACTTGCAACCTGTTGCCCTCCAGATGCAGCCTTTCCAACTGCAGGGGGCCCCTCAGGAGGTCAGGGGGCAGAGTCTTCAACTGGTTATTACTGAGGTCAAGGATGCGCAGGGCGGTGAAGTTGGCCAGCAGCCCGGGGGGCAGTGTCTGGAGGTGGTTCCCGGACAGGTCCAGATGCCCCAGGGCTTTCAGCCCGCACAGCCATGAGGGCTCCAGGACGTCCAGCCGGTTTTCCTTCAGTACCAGGGTGTGGAGAGCAGCCGAGACCCGGAACAGGCCGGGGGGCAGATGGGTCAGGGCATTGCGGGTCAGGTCGAGCACTTTCAGCAGAGGCACCGGCAGCAAGAGCTTGGGCGAGAGGCTCTCCAGCTGGTTGGTGGAGAGGTGCAACTCCTGGAGGTTAGAGACGCCCTGGAGGGTGTCAGCCCGAAGCTGGGTGAGGTTGAAGAACTCCACCACCAGGTGGACGGTGTCGGAAGGGAAGCGGTGAGGGAGTTTGGCAGGTGGGTGGCAGGAGACGGAGCTGCCGTTGCTGGACGGGAACACCAGGCAGGTGTCACGGTCCAGGGTGACCCCCTGGGCTGAGGCCACGAATAACAGCAGCAGGAGCAGTGTTCTAGAAAGATGGGAGCTCAGACCTCCCGGGCTGTAGACAGTGACAGAAGAGACACCTAGTTCGATGAAAGTGTCCCAAGAATCAGCTATTTCTTGTCTCCACTTTCCCCCATCCTGGACCATGCCACCTCCTTGCTCCCCTCGACTAGGGCATCACCTCCGGCTCCTCCCCTGGCCTCCCCCTCATCCCTCCCCCAACTGCCAGAAGTAGCTGCTATTCCCCAGAGCAGTCTAACTCTGAAAAAGGAGTTTCTCAGTCAGACCCATAACTGCTACCCTTCTTCATTGGCAGCTCAGCCCCATCGGGCTGTTAATTATTTACAGTCTCATTTGCTAATTTCTTCTGCTCTAGCTTGTTTTCTGGGTCATTTTCTATCTCCCTGGCTCCATACTTTGAAGGTAGAGTCAGCGAACTCCTACTTAGCCTGCAAAGCCCCAGCTCCAATGCTTCCTTTTCCATGAAGGTTTTCTCTGACTTTCCCAAGGTTCCCCCTCTGGGGTCCGTCTCTTTCTGTCTGGCCCTGAACCAGCAAGGTTATATTTCTTTTTTTAAAAAAGATTTTTATTTATTTATTCATAGAGATGCAGAGAGAGAGAGAGGCAGAGACACAGGCAGAGGGAGAAGCAGGCTTCATGCAGGGAGCCTCACGTGGGACTCGATCCACGGTCTCCAGGATCACGCCCTGGGCTGCAGGCGGCGCTAAACCGCTGCGCCACCAGGGCTGCCCAGCAAGGTTATATTTCTGTGGCCTGTTCCATCTTGCTCCAAAATGCTTGGAACAATCCAGGCCTCAGAAAGGAACTCTAAACCTGAAAAGTGTATTCTGCTTTGTGCAGATCTGGGGCAGGCTTTTGGCCTTGGGATGGAGTGGTTTACAGTTGGCACCATAATCCTCGGAGGGCTGGGGCTTCTGCGCCTCCTGGTCTGCCCAGCAGGCCTCTGATGGGGTGTTGGTCGGGCAGTGCTGGGGTCTTCTACCTCTCTCTCTGGCCCGGGGTGGGGGAGACTCACCTCTGGCTTCGCTCTGGGCTCCAAGGGGACATAATGGCCTCTCTCTTTTCCATCTGTGTTCCCTTGGCCCGGTGAGGTAGCCTTATACCCTTGGACCGAGGACAAGGCCGCCAACCACAGGGAAGTCCTTACCCACATCCTGTTCCCGTTAGTGGCTGGACCTGAGCCAGGCAGGGGAAACGGAGTCGTCAAAGTTGCAAAACTGCTTCCTGGCAGTGGGAGGGCAGCAGGGAGTTGCCTGCCCCTTCCTTCCCTGCTTCTACCCAGTTTTTCATTTCCCTGAATCCTGCTTTTGGAGGGTGGGCACCCAAGAGTCTCTGGGGCTGAATCCCCGCTTCCTCCAGTCCAGGAATCAGAGGTTGGGTTCACAAGGCACCATTTTTAGGGGACAGCTCTTTAAGCAAGAGATACTCTTTGCACTAAATTTGAGCAACCAGGAAGCTCAACAAAGAGAACAAAAAGCATTTGTGTTGAACTTATGACATGTTGTTGGCCTTTTTAAAAAATGAAATAATTTCTAAAAATTAGATTTCAAATGTAAGCAATGCCAAAAGCCTCCACAGTCTTTGAACAATGGCCTGGGAGGCACTGAACCTGGCTCTGGTTCCCAGCTCCGCTAGGAATGGCTTTATTTTGTGATCTTGGGCAAGTGGCTTCAGTTTTCTTGGCCTCAGTTTCCATATCCGTGGAGTTGAACTCAATCTCCAAGGGCCCCTTCTGCTCTTTCTTTCTTCATCTGAAGCTAATGTGCTGTTTGTTTTGGATCCTTCTCATTCCCTAACGCATTTGGAAGCTACAAATTTCCCTTTGAGAACTGCTTTGGCTGCACCTCACCGGTTTGGCTATCCAGTGCTTTCATTCTTGTCGCATTCTAAACATTCAGGTGTGATGTGCACCCAAGACTTTGGTCACGTCTGGCCATAGCCTCTTCTCCCCGGCCAATCTCTGGAGTTCTGTCTCTATTGAGCTGTAAGAATGAATATGAGTTCTGTCTTGTGGACACACAGGTTCAGAGACATACATGCAGGCTGATCGTGACAGGCATAAAGAAAGACAGATGGAGGGGGGCCTGGGTGGCTCAGTCGGTTAAGTGTCTGCCTTCAGCTTAGGTCATAATCCTGGGATGCAGCCCCACATCAGGCTCCTCGTTCAGTGGGGAGTCTGCTTCTCCCTCTCCCTCTGCTTCTCCTCCTCCTTGTGCTCTCTCTCTCTCTCTGTCTCTCTCTGTCAAATAAATAAATACAATCTAAAAAAAAAAAGACAGATGGATATCCTCGTGAATACACAGGTAGAGATACCACACGGAGGGGAAAATGTGTAGGATCACACAGACACACGGACAAAGCAGGACACGTCAGACAGAATAACAGATCTGTAGAGGCAGACACGCAAAAACACATACCCACAAAAGTAGGCATAGGAGCTGAATAGACAGTTTTCCAAAGAAGACACCTAGATGGCCAATAGGTACATGAAAATGCTCAACGTCACTCATCATCAGAAAATTGCAGATCAAAACCACAATGAGCTATTACCTCACACTTGTCAGAATAATTAGAATCAAGAAGACAAGAAATAACAAGTGTTGGCGAGGCTGCGGAGAAAAGGGAACCCTTGGGGGTCCCCGGGTGGCTCAGAGGTTTAGCGCCTGCCTTCGGCCCAGGGCATGATCCTGGAGTCCCAGGATCAAGTCCCACGTCAGGCTCCCTGCATGGAGCCTGTGTCTCCCTCTGCCTGTGTCTCTGCCTCTCTCTCTCTCTCTCTCTCTCTCTCTCTCTCTCTGTCTCTCATGAATAAATAAATAAATAAAATCTTTAAAAAAAAAGAAAAGAGAAAAGAAAAGAAAGAAAAAAGAAAAGAAAAGAAGAAAAAAAAAGAAAAGAAAAGGGAAACCTTGCACACTGCCAGTGGGAAAGCAAATTGGTGCAGCCGCTGGGGAAGACAGTGTGGAGGGAGGGCCCTCAAAAAATTAAAAATAGAGATATATGACCCAGCAATCTCACTTCTGGGTATTTATCCAAAGAAAACAAAATGGTAACTTGAAAAGATATATGTATTCGTTTGTTTGTCAGAGTATTATTCACAATAGCCAAGACATAGAAACATCCTATGGGTTATTGACGGATGGATAAAGAAGATGTGATTTAAAAAAAAGAGGGGATCCCTGGGTGGCTCAGCAGTTTGGCGCCTGCCTTTGGTCCAGGGCGTGATCCTGGGGTCCCGGGATCGAGTCCCATGTCGGGCTCTCTGCATGGAGCCTGCTGCTCCCTCTGCCTGTGTCTCTGCCTCTTTCTCCCTCTCTCCATCTCTCTATGTCTATCATGAATAAATAAATAAAATCTTAAAAATAAATAAATAAATAAATAAATAAATAAATAAATAAATAAATAAGTAAATAGAAAATGTGATGCACAGACACTGGAATATTATTCAAGCATAAAAAAGAAGAAAATGCTGCCATTTGCAACAATGTGATTGAATCTTGAGGGTATTACCCTAAGTGAATTAAACCAGGCCGAGAAAGACAGATACCCTATACTCTCATTTATTTGTGGAATTAAACCCATAACTGAGAGCAGGATGGCAGGATGGCTGCCAGGCGCTACGGGGTGCAGGAAATGGGGAGATGTTGGTCTAAGGGTACAAACGTGCAGTTTTTTTTTTTTTAGATTTAAAACATTTATTTATTTGTGAGAGAGAGAGAGAGAGAGAGAGAGAGAGGAAGAGCACCAGCAGGAGAAGGGGCAGAGGGAGAGGGAGAAGCAGACTCCTCGCTGAGCAGAGATCCTGAGGCAGGGCTCCATCCCAGGGCTCTGGGATCATGACCTGAGCCGAAGAAGTCACAATTCACCAACTGAGCCACCCAGGCGCCCCCACCCCTCAACCCCATTTTTTCTTTAAAATTTTATTTATTTACTAGAGAGAGAGAGAGGGAGGGACAAATGTGCAGTTCTAAGATGAATACACCCAGGAGGGGTCACGTACAGCGTGGTGACTACAGTTAACGTTACCGTATTATATACTTTTTTTTTTAAATTTATTTATGATAGTCACAGAGAGAGAGAGAGAGAGAGGCAGAGACATAGGCAGAGCGAGAAGCAGGCTCCATGCACCGGGAGCCTGACATGGGATTCGATCCCGGATCTCCAGGATCGTGCCCTGGGCCAAAGGCAGGCGCCAAACCGCTGCGCCACCCAGGGATCCCACCGTATTATATACTTGAGAATTGCTGAGAGAGTAGATCTGCAATATTCCCGTCACTCACACACCCGGGGACCTACGGGAGGAGACGCATCTATGGTGGAAATCCTCGTGCAATACGTGCACACATCAAATCACTGGGTTGTGCGCCTGGAACTCGTCCATCAAACCTCTCTCAATAAGGCTGGAGAAACGGACACAGGTTCAGGAGGAGCAATGGGAAGTCATCACGGTGCTTTGTGTCGCTTTGTTTACTAACAGTGTCCCCCAGCACAAGGGGGAACCGGATCTGTCCTGTCCACTGCACGGTCCCCAGAGCCCAGCACACAGCAGGTGCTTCACGGACGCGGGCGGGAAGGGAGGAGTGTGAACGTAAAGGCATAACTGAAGAGATCTCTTAAAGTGAAATCAGATCCTGCTCCCTGCTTAAAACCCTCTGATGGTTCCCTGTCGCACTTAAATAAAATCTGTAAGGCTGGGGTGGGGGTGGAGGTGGGGAGTTAATGTTTAATGGGGACTGAGTTTTACTTTGGAAAGATGCGAAAGTTCTGGGGATGGATGGTGGGGGTGGGTGCCCGGCGGTGTGAACGGACTTCAGGCCATTGAGCTGTGTGCTTTAAGAAACGGTACCAAAAAAATTAAAATAAATAAAATAAAAATATAAATAAGTAAATAAATAAATGTACCAATGGTGTATTTGAATTGATGTAGATTTATGTGGATTTTACAACCAAAGAATTTTACATTCCTCACCTGTGAGGCTCTGCCTACCTGGAGCCCTGGCCCTGCTCTCTCCTCATCTGCACCTGCTCCTGCCCAGCCCTCCCTCCCTGCGCTGCTGGGGGCCACTGTGGTCGCTCTGCCCCTCCTCCAAGCAGGTCCCCACTGCAGGCCTTGCACCGCCTCTTCCCTCTGCCTGCACAACTCCCCACAGCTGCTTTCTCACATGTCACCTCTCAGCTCAAGTGTCACCTCCTCCAGAGGTCCTCCTTGATCACCCCCTCCCCCACCCCATCACCCCAGACCTAACTCGTTATCTGGCTTTTTCACTGCGCATGTCACTACTTCAAATCCAGGCCTAGGGCAGCCCGAGTGGCTCAGCGGTTTAGCGCCGCCTTCAGCCCAGGGTGTGATCCTGGATACCTGGGATGGGTCCCACATCTGGCCCCCTACGTGACCCCTGTTTCTTCCTCTGCCTGTGTTTCTGTGTCTCTCATGAATAAATAAAATCTTAAAAAAAAAAAAAACGAACCACAAATCCGGTCCTAATTTGTGTGTATGGGGTCGATCCCCCCACCCCCCCACACCTCAACTGCCCCAGGCTGTGAACTCCACGGAGGACAGGGATCTTGGTCCCAAACATGCCTGGCATTCCAGCAGGAGCACAATAAATATTTGCTCAAGTGTGAATCAGAAACTGGCCCATCCAGATGAAGATGCCGGCTCCTCTCCCATTTCCACACCCAGTTCCCCCAGAATTCTGCTTGTGGCCATGAGTCCCACAGGGCGCTCCCAACTGCCCTGGGTAACACTGGGGTCCTGCCCCCCACCCCAGGAGACAGAGCACACCCAGAGCCATGGGGGCCGGTGGTTGTAAACAGTTTTATTGATGGGGAGGGGGTTGGGGGAGGCAAACTCCAGAGAGGGTCCAGGACTCAGCTGGCCACTCAGCTGGCATGCATGGTCAGCTGGAGGTCAAGGGAGAGGTCACAGGGGGACGGGTGGCATGGGACCCTCTGACCACCCTGGGGCCGTATTTACAGTGGGGCCCGCCCGCCTTCCCCGCCCCCCAGACCACCAAGCCCTTTAGACAGCTGCTGCCGATAGGACTTCTGGGCAGGCCCTCCCGGCCCCCTGCCCGAAACCCCTTCTGGTCTCCCCCTCAAACTCCTGACCGGCACCTCGGAGGCCCCCCGGCCTT